TTTATTTTACAGAATTCATACAGAAAAATGCATTCTAAAATTAGGTAAGCTACTGGTGTAAGCTTTTTCTGTACAATAAAGTTAGTCGGAGTTTCTTTCTTCAGCGCTGTCTGAATCTGAATCTTCATCACTCTCAAAGTTGATTATTAAAGGTTCGATGTCTGGTCGATCAAAAATTCGTTCTCTTTCATACCATTTAAAAATTTCTTGCTCAGTATGTCGAACACTATTTTTCCACATGTCTGGGGTAACCGTTTGTAGAGCCTCGTTCCACATATCCAAACAGTCTTTTTCACTGTTACCATCTCTACCAATATGTCTGTTATAGTAACCTTTTGCTATGCCCCAAATTAACTCAATAGGGTTAAATATACAATGGTAAGGAGGCAGACGAAGAACTTTGTGCCCATGTTGTTCCGCCAATTCATCAATCACGTATATTTTAGGTGGTTTGTTTCTAAAAAAGCAGTTATTTTAAGAATAGGAATAAACAAAAGAAATATAAACTGTCGACCAAAATATATATAATTAAGAAGCATTATGTACCGAGCAACAATACTCAATAGCTCTGTTTTAAACATTGTGTTTAAAAATGGTATGTTTTGATTTGTCAACCAGTATTGGATATTTTTTTTTGTCCATGCATTGTTGGGCACTTTGTTCAATATCATGCTGTGATAAGGGGCGTTATCCAGTATAATCATAGATGGACTCTCCAATTTTTCTAATAACTGATGTTGAAACCATTTCAAAAAATTGTCCTGGTTCATCTCTCCATGGTAATCGCTCAATTTTGTTTTCGAAGAAAATATCGCTTCACTACCCTCAATAAACCCATTTTCATTTCCAGCATGTAATATAATGTATCTAAAATATATTAGTTTTAAATTTTATAGTGCAAATTGTGTAAAAGTACATACCTTTTACCATCTGTTTTAATAGCTTTCACGCTTTTTTGGTTTCCATTTTGCCAAGAGCGACCTATGGTCCCATTTTGAAATATCCAAGTTTCATCGAGGAAGACAAACTGGTATAAGGCCTCAACCTTGGCTTGATTGTATTGCCTTAGAAATTCCACCCTTTTCAAAGCTATACTTGGTAGTTCCATGAGCCCTCGTCGCGGATTGTTCTTAAGCCACTTAAATCCAAGATCTCTAAGCAACCGCCTTAAAGACGTGGCACTACCATCAAATAATGCCCTATCTCTTAATCGAGACCATAAAGTTTGTATCGTAACTTGTTCTTCTGAAACCATGTGTAATATGACATTATAATTTAGTTAACAAATTAATGCAAATTTCTGATAAGTTATTATAATAAGATCTTACTTTTGTGATACATATTATAGATCACTTCTCGAATGGCACTTGTATCCAATGTCGCTGTGTTGGTTACACGTTTAATATAACTCCGCTTTTTCTTGGGCGATTCTAAATTTGCATCACTTTTCACACCCTCGGAAATACGACTAACTGTCCTTAAACTAATTTTTAAAGCAGCAGCAACACGCTACAAAAAATGAAATAAAATTTCACTATTATTAATATACATTACATATAATTATTAGTAACCTACCTCTTGAACAGCATTTAAAGGCAACGAAGGCCCGTTGTTGTCCCTTTCTTGCTCAAAGTAGTGCATTAACGAGGCCACGAGTTCCTTACACCGACTATTTAACTGTTTGGGCATCTTTATATACCAAAATTGCCTTTATCTACTCGTAAAATGAATAATTTTGTTTTGAAACAAACAGTTGTTGATTTACAGTATGCGGGGCCAAAGGATTTATAAAGATTTGAAATGCCACAAATTGATTCAGTGTCAAAATTAATACAAATGTCAGTTCCCAGTTTAAATAAGTTTCAAGGTGACAATGTGTCAACGCTGCGAAATCGGTTTAGTGCGTTTACATGTCGATAAGTGATTGGAGCGTTTGCAAAACATTTTATTTCGCATAATGCGTCTAAATTTATCAGAAAGCAACTTATGTGATATTTTAATAACAATGTTTATATGACTATTAACCATAATAAGAGAGTAATGACCATTTTACAATTTATATATCACATTAATATGAAACTGCAATAGAGCAATTGTTTGTGATAGAAACCTAGGCATTAGGTCGGGGAATTTTTATCGTGATGACGTGCACGCCACTTTGTTTGGCGTTGACTATAATACCCTTGCCGATCTATTCGCGCAATGATAAAGTAGGGATTCTGGATGTTTATGAGTTAGCTGAGAGTGTATCCGTATTGGAAGTATGGATCTACGTATGGTGTTATATAATGATGCAATCCAATTTGCACACTTAATTGGAAAGCGTCGAAGCATTACCGACAAAACTATTGAAACTACGATTAACTATACTATAAATACATCTTGCTTGTTACAGTGTCGCTGGGAATACATTTATATAGAGAAGATAACTTTCGTTATACGAGTATGACCATTTTTCCATGACTGCCATGGATAACCAATATTGTGCATTGGGTACCACACTTCAAACATTGCTTCAAACGAAAAGTTCATCAAAGTGAAATGAAATAATCACAGTGAAAGTACGCTTACAGCTTTTTTCTATAACACAAGTCTGTCGCAACAAAAGTACTAAAATTTTAGCCCTCTTCCAGGCCATTGGTAACAAGAATGATTAGTACCGTTGGCGCCATCTATTGGGGACCGTGTCAACGACTCTCCTTCGTTGGCGACATCTGTTGAGGACCGTGCCAGTGACTCGCCTTCTAGATCGACGCGAAGTGACCTCGAATATTCTAGACTGCCGCTTTGTGGCTCGCCGGAATCTTCTCGACTCGACGTGTACCTGTGACGCGGACTATACAGGGTGACTTCGAAGTTGAGTCATTTATTTCAACAGTGAGCAGATCTGATCAAAAGAAATGTTTTTTTCCTTTAACATTTTTCTGGTAAAATTAAAGTAACAAAGTTATAGCCCTTTAGAAGTTTGAATACCGCGCTGTCTCAATAATAATATTATGTGCTCGTGTTGGCAACAACGGATATAATCCGCCTTATCCGTTCATCGCATCGGAAACAAAAAAGCGAAAGACTTTGAAACGATGTTTTTACTACAATGTACAATTTTATTGAGTTGTATTTAGTCAACGTGTCAGCCGGTAACGCGTGAGTGAATAGTGGTGTTTGTTGCGTGGCTCAAACGACATAAAAAATGGCACATGTTTACGAAAATGCTGAATGTAGTACAGTACAAAGGGCTCGTGAATCAGGTGACTTAAGACCTCACAGGGGAGGGCATGCCGGTGCTCCAAGACCGCACGATCAAATACAGCTCCGCACTGACATACTTGTCGGGAGGATACTTTATAAAACAAGGTAACATTTTTTTTTATTTTTACACACATATTTTGGTTTATCTTCCTTCTACAATCATTATCTGAAAATTAATGACTCAACTTCAAAGTCACCCTGTATAGGGACGGCCGGGAGATGGTAGCAGAGTAAGTAGATCAGAGTGTAGTATAGTTCAGTCAATGGCGCGACATACGAATTAGTCAGACATAAATAATGGTGTACGTAAATGTTCTATCTACTCAAGTTAAATAAATTAGTGCATATGTTTTTGTGGGATCCAGTATTTTAATACACACCTAAAAGGACCCGGAAAAACGCTACAGTGAAACAAAAATATTTAACAGAAAAATCAAAATAAGTGACTTTTAAAATACTGGGAGAGTACATCTTAGATTTTTATGACGTTACTAATATTCCGTTTGTCCAAAGAAATAATGCTATTGATTATTAAACGAGCAGATATGTTACCAGCCACCCCTACGTCAAACTACAATGCGTCAAAGACTTTTAACGGAAATATTTTTTTTCAGTATTCAAAAGGTGATACTTTTTCTCACGCAACGGCAGATGCATGAACGACGCGAAGCTACGACGACGTAGATGATGATTCTAAAGCGAAAATTGTTGCTAATTTAGCCAACGAAAGTCCATCAGCCCAAGGCAAACGCTATATCCCATCGAAAGAAGAACTTTCTGTCTCAGTCTCACAAAACTATGCAACCAATAATGCGTGTAGTTTAGTTGTGTGATTCCTCCATAGATGGACGTTCACAACGATCCTAGTGAGCAAACGTGGAATGACTGTTTGCGCACTAAAAACTACCTAGTCTGCAAGTTGACATCATATAGGTTTTTTTTTGACGTTTTATAGGTTTGTTACATGATACCGGTGCCGATATAATATGCCGATTGTTAAATTAAGACAGCATAAACTGCGAATCTGTCTAGTTTCGATAGATTTTATACCTCAGATGGAGGTTAGTTGCTATGTTTTCTTTCGCTGTCCTGTCCTGAGGCCAAGCCTAGACCATGCTGATAAGTTGCCAAAAAATACAATACATCCAGGTATATCCTGACTGTAAAAAGAAAACTTTGAAAAGAAAATTCAGTAAATAATGTTATTTCAATGATAAATATCTAAAAAATATAAGATACAAATAAAGCAATGTTTTACTTGTCGAATTAGAATCAGGTTTTGAGATCCATACATGGTTTCCCTATTAACTTTCAAAGTCAAAGTTTTATTTTTTGAGTTGTTAGTCAAATGGAAAGAAAATAGAAGGTATGCGTATCTCAATTCGAACTTAGAAAACACGCTATAAAGGAAGCTAAGTAAGAAATGACGTTCAAGAGAACTAGGCATCATATAATTGTGAATGAACATGTGTGAACTAGTGACACACTATTGCTACAAGGTCACCGGGAAAACAACCCAGAAAATGACACGTGATTGAGCATATATGATTCGACAAATTAACCACCCGAAAGCAACAGATCAGGTGCTATATTAACATCATGATTAAATACGCAATTATACAAATCAAGTGATCCTGCGAACAATTGAAACCAAAACAATAGAACATTGCGATGCTCGAAGATGAGGTCGCGCAGCATCCGCAGGCGATTGTCAATGTGCGAGTCCCGGTAGGCCGAGAAAAACAACTTACCGGCCAGGTTTGCTGCATAAAAGGTGGCGTAACAGCGCATAGATCGTCGATTCCCTGGCGTGCCGTGTGTGGAAATTGCGAGGGAAAGTGGGAAATCGGTGAAAATCGGAGCGTTTCGATGCGCGAACGCGATTGAGCGATCGACGCCGACGCTTCAAGGGAAGAATACTGGCGAGCCGCTGCCGCTCCGTCGGTCGTCAGGCGGCGCGCCGCCGCGGCGCTGGGCGTCCACAAGGGGTGAGGGCGCCGCGCACAGGGCCGGCACGGATATTATTTAAATAACCTATAAAACGTCAAAAAAAAACTATAAAAAGTCATCGTGCAGACTAGAGAGTTTTTAGGGTGAAAACCGTCATTCCACGTTTGCTCATTAGGATCGTTGTGAGCGTCCATCTATGGAGGCATAGCTCAACTACACGCATTGTTGGTTGCATATGTTTTGTGAAGCCGAGTAGTCTATAGTTTTCATCTCTGAGAAGAAGCTTGGTTGAATATCAAGATCGCATCTGGATGATTGTCTGCACGTGTATAAAGTGAATGACATTTGCTGTGTGAGAAAATCATTTCGGGTTATTTATATGTTGTCTTTTCTGAAGACAACGTTATATATTACGATTTTTTACGTTTTTTTGTGATTTCAAAAACTGTTGTGTTACAGGAAATCACCACCGCGCCCGCGCTGTGTGTAATTACTGTCAGCATGTATATGACATAATTCGACAGTGTACAGTGAATATAATCATTTCTTATCTTTCATTTTTGAAATTCAGCAAATTTGCATATTTAATTTCCAGAATCGATAAGAAAAAGTGGATGCGCAACTAATTTCTAGCTTCAAATCTCAAGTAAGTGTATTTGAGACCAGAATCCAATGAAATTACCATCAACACAAATTATTAGTACAGAAATCCTCACAATGCACCTATGCATTGCCGTTGCCTCCGGTAATGCCATCTCTGAAGCAGATTTTACATCACATCAGAGCCAAACATTGATAACTGAAGTCTTATGACGTTTAGGCAACACGTACAACTTCTAAACGAGTTCTCTATTGAGCTGAATACGGTTCTGTTGAGTACCATATCAATTTTATGTTCTATGATGTTAGGGTAAAGACAGACATAGCGTTTATCGACTTGAGTAATATATTATGAATAGTCCTTTGAGCTGGAAAAAAAGGAATAAAACCAAACTAGTTACATTATGAAGAATTATTATATTTTGTTATCATCTTTATTGAATGGGAATTATGTTTTAAAAATCACATCGTCTAAATGCAATCCATTACGATCACGGCACTCATATAAACGACGTCTAAAATTGTCGATGACTGCGCGGCAAGTCAACACTGTAATGCTTGCCATTTCTCTTCGGATATTTTCTTTCAGGACATCAACTGATCGCGGAGTGGTGTCGTACACTTTACTCTTGAGGTAGTCCCATAAAAAGAAGTCCATTGGGGTCAAATCTGGACTACGTGGTGGCCAGGAAATGTCTCCTCTTCGAGAAATTACTTTGCTGGGAAAAAGTTGACAGACGACGGGCATAGAAGTGTTGGAGGTGTGGGCAGTTGCTCCGTCCTGTTGAAACCAGGTCTGCGTATTATAGCCTGGATAAATTCTGCAACGCTGGTGTCAAAAACTCTTCTATCATTGCTACATACCGCTCCGAAGTAACAGTTAATGCGCGACCTCTATCGTCCTCAAAAAAATAAGGGCCTACGATGCCATGCGCTGACATAGCAGCCCAAACTGTAACTTTAGGGCTGTGTAAGGGCTTCTGATGCTTACGCCTTGGATTTTCGGGGCTCCAATAACGGCAATTTTGTTTATTTACATGCCTGTTTAAATGGAAGTGAGCCTCGTCCGAGAACAACACATTATTGAGCGAAGAAAATCGATTCAACATTTCATTCGCAAAGTTTAGTCTCTGAATAGCGTCATTATCTTTTAATTCCTGCCCTAACTGAATTTTGTAAGCGTGCAGACGTAAATCTTTCCTTAAAATCCGCTGTAAAGATGTTCTGGGTACGTTTAGTGCACTGGAACGCTTACGAGTAGACTGGGTAGGATTTTGACGAACAGACTGTGCCACAATGTTGATGTTTTCTTCAATACGAGTTGTCCTTGGTCGACCCCACCGCTGTTTATCTAACGTCGAACCAGTCTCTTCGAACTTAGCAACCCAGTTCTTAATCGTTTGAGCTGTTGGACACTTTGTAAAATTGTGTAAATTGTGGTATTCTCGATATTTACGCCGCGCAATGGTTGCCGAATCATTATTTTGATAAAACGCGCGCACACAAAAAGCACGATCCGCTCAAGTGAAACACTCCATGGCGACTGAATTCGCAGACACTGAAGATACTGCCCCCACCTCGCCCGCGCCGCTCACGCTCACCCGTTAAATTTTATTCAAATTTGAAATTTCAAAGGACTTATGGACCACCCTGTATAAAATACACACAGCAGTGCCACGCCTGTCGTTTCATGCGACAATTTATAACAGCTTCGGTAGGTAGTTGATCTCAGGAATCGATTTAATTTATGTGACGCGTTGGGTCTTTCAATGTCTTTATATGACTCGTTTTGTATAAAAATGGCTGGACAAAAAATTGATATTGAAAAGTTAATTAGCGAAGTAGAAAATTGACCGTCACTTTGGGATATGAGGAAAAATGAACGCAGCGATAGAGTTATGAGAAGAAAATATTAGGAGGAAATAGTAAATTTGTTTGTCAAAGAAAACGGCACAATTGACGAAAAGAAGCAGTTAGGTAGGTATAATAATTGTATACATATGATAAATTAACATTTTTTATTGGCTATTCTTATTACTTTTTCACAAAATTTTGCATTTCTCATACGTGTATCTTTGTGCGATGATTGGATGTATGCACATCGTACTATTTATTTTTACTAAGTACAAATACAGTAGCGACATCCATTATGCAAATCGAACCGTTTAAGACACAGCTCAGCGTGTATTACTGGAACGCGGCCGATTCGTTAGACGCTTCGGTTAAAACCGGTACGTCTGTCGTTACCCTTACATTCTCCCTACATACAATTCAGTGTTCTGAGCTTTGCTGTCGGATTGTCATTCCGGTGATCGGATGTCAAAATTTTTTAAAGTACTTTTCAATTTTCATCATTTCATCCAGTTATTTTAAAATATCGTACACAAACAAAGCCATTGTTTGCAAGCAATAACAGATTGTGACTAATAATTTCATTTCAGAGCAGTAATTAGGTAAAAATGAATTTATTTCTTTTAGTTTTGTCGTATTTTTTGTACGTTTTCGCATCAGCTCAGGAGCAGGAAGAAGTTCATACAATAAAATACACTAATATTAACTTTTCTGACGAAGTAGCCAAGAAGAATCATTTTGTTATGTTCTACGCACCATGGTAAGTAAAAATTTACATGTAATTTTCCAAATACTGATTTAACAATGTACACGTGAAAAATTTACATAATTCAAATATGGATTAAATCGCAGGTAGTGAGATAACACACTTAAAGCCAAGGTACTTATATAGTATTTACTTTGTCATTAGTAGCCTGATTTTAAACTATCTTTTTGTTTCATGAAAACTTAAGGATTTGATTAATTAATAATTCCATAACAGTGTTCTGTAATAAATCATGTTTTAAAATATTTACTGATACTATTAACTGATGCACTGTATTAAACAATTACCAGTTGTAAATAAGTGCCTAAAGTTTTAAGTCATATAGTATCAGATAGGTGACACCCTCATTCTCCATACACTGAGTGAACTGATTTCTGACGATTGTCAAGACAGCATAGCAGCGATAATGTTGGCAATTTCTTCCTGGATATTGGTCATGAAATCTTGTAGGGTCCTTAGAGTGTTCACATAAATCGTTTTCTGTCATTGGTCCCACAGACAAAGCCAGAACAAGTTTGTTATACATTGACCTTCATTTAGGGCTCATCACAAAGTGGGGAGGTGTCTGATTAGATGATGTCCGATTTTCCAGGTGCGTGCATTGTCAAAAGTTTTCACCTCAATGGGAACAATTGGCCGAAATGCTTAACGAAGATGACAGTGACATTAAAATAGCCAAGGTGGACTGCTCGACAGATAGTAAAGTATGCCTCAAAGAAGATATCACCGGCTATCCGATTCTAAAGTTTTACAAACTCGGCGACAGTAATGGCATCAAGTTCAGGGGCACACGGGATCTGCCATCACTTACTAATTTTATAAATGAACAGTTACGGGAGGTATGATTACTATGCTACAACTATTTAAAACTGTAATGACTCATACGCGTGATCAACACGTGATCAGAGCTCGATCCCGGCTTCCTTCCAGTACAGCCGTATAGCGTACGACATATTTATGTCGTTTCTGTGGCTTTGCGGTGGTCAACAGCACAGACAGAGATGGAAATAATGGCTGATTGTTCTCCGCAGGCAGAACCAATGAAATCAAAGACGCGCCTCGACCGGCAGACTCATAGGCGTCGGCAACGCATTGGAACGTGTTTCGTTGAGCGATCGCATATTGTGTGTTTTTATAAGAATTGTTGTGTGATGTGATTGTTATTGTTGTGGTTTCTGTGGTTACTGTTTTGGTTATACTTAACCATGGAGAGTACAAATGGCACGAGTGGAAGTACTGAAAGCCAGGGAACAAGTAGACGGCTTCGTAAAGCACTGAAGAGGGACGCGAAAGAAATCGTGCTCAACGTGTTCAGTTATCTGAACAGAACTATGTCGCAGGGAGATGCACTCGCGCGTTGTGAAAGTATGACCGGCGTTCCAGAGTGGACCATTCGCAGGGTGGTGCATGAATAGAAGAAAACTGGAGCTACTACTGATCCAAAGTTTAATTTGAAGGGACGAAAGGCCGTTAAATTGGATGACGACAGCAAAATGGCGTTAAGGCGAACCGTACATTCATTCTTCTTTAGGAATGAGATACCAACCCTCAAGGCTGTACATGCAGCAATCAAGGAAAATGAAATTATACCCCAAATGAGCGTCGAGGTAATGAGGAAATCCCTGCACGAAATTAATTTTCGTTACGAAACGCGTTATCGGAAGTCAGTATTGATAGAGAGACCTGAAATAGTTGCCTGGCGTCGAAAATACCTACGCGAAATGATTGAATATAGGCGACAAA